ATTGTCCATGACGAACACAACCGTCCTACCTTTCAGCCATGCGTTCTCAGTCTGGCTTTAAAAATCGCCTACCATCCAGGCCTTGCTTCTTGTAATACCAGCAGTCATTTCCCACCTTGAAAGCCTTGGGTCTCTCTGCTTTCTTGTTTCAAGGAAGCTTTGCTCCCACGAAAAGCTCCCATTAAAACGGTGACACAGTCCTTGCTGTGTTTCTCATCCTGTGTACTCCTTGACTTTAAAGCTGGAAGTCTTGTTGGGAAAGAGATTATTAAAAGTGCCATTTGGTCCTTGTTGAAGATGTCGCTGGGCCCATAATTTGAGAGGACGTGCTGAAGCTTTTTCTGCCGTCAGTCATTCCTTTTTGATTCACTGCAGCACTTTCAGCTGCTGTGGTTTGGAAGACAAGGCCGTCGTGTTTCTTGAAATGACCTGATCACCCATTGCTGAACATTTAAGTTTTGAATTTCCCTCTGGATTGCAATGTGCCTTGCCATCACCTCCAAATAGGCCCGGTCACTGGTTGGAACTTCGGCATGCTTTAAACCACTGGAAAACTGCGTTTTCAATGCAAGGCCCTTGTGGTCAGCTAGAAGCAGCCTTCACTTATCAAGGGCTAAATGCCACTGTTGTGTGCCTTCTCAATCTTGTCACAATCCTTCAAAATTTTTGAGAGTACACTTCAGGATTCCATGCCTTTTTGCGACAGCCATCTTTGACTCCGTGTCGTGCTTCATGTCTTCGAGTACTTTTCTTTTGGTGTCCAAAACAATGCCTTGTGCTGGTGCTTTTTAGTGGTTCCTTCCATATTGCACACATATAGAAATCTACAAGCCAATGCTGGAAAAGCATCAAGTGCAATATGGCATCGAAGTACTTGGTGCGAATACTACAGATTGGATGATGGCTAGGGACAGTAACGAATTCAATACCCTCAAACCTCTATAACGAACACAGATATAATAAAATGTCATTTGTAACGCAGTAAATGAAAAATAGTCTTGCAACACATATAGTGTTGGCAATAGGCTTTAACAATTTTCAAATATAACAAACTTATTTTCTTGTGAGATGCAACTTTGTTATAATGACGCTTCAGTGTACAATGCTCAGTTTGTTTCGTTTATCTGTGTTGCCTGCAAAATGGTGTTTGATTGTCTATCTCAACTAAGCACCAATTTTTTAGGCAACTAATTACTTTTTGAAAATTGTCTCATCTAAAAGATGTTCTTGTTTGTGCGAGTTGCGTTTGGTGCACGTGCACAGTACTTGCATTATCACACCTGGAACTCAAAATTGCTTCAAGAATCTCGTGTTGGTCGTGGAAAGAAGAAATAGTTGTGATTTGTCTCAAAGGTAAAAACTGTGAAGATTTTAGCAACTTCTTGATGGATTGTTTGACGATCCAAGTCTAGCTTCTTTAGGATCGAACGAAAGTGGGCTGGCATGAGAAAACATGATCACTGCAGGCTTCTCCTCTCATGAGTTTGCATGACACGACTAGCAGCTCATGTCGCATAATCCGGCATAATCTGCTTTACTTGCAGACTCTCACTTACGCACAGATTAGCGTAATCAGCACAGACAAGAAAGGAGGACTCAGCACGTGCGCCAACATTAAAAAAAAATTATTTATTACAACTTAAGGGTAAACATATACACTTGCGCTTCATTATAACAAAAGTCGCATCTTGCCCGAAAATAAGTTCGTTTTACTTGAAAGTTTGTTATAAAAGTATATTCTTAACTCTGCCATAAAAGTTCGAGCAAGTGCCTCCCCCCTTCCCCCCGGCCCACCCCCAAGTTCACTGGCAATTTCAAATATCTGCGCCGTTCTCGGTAAGCACCCCCCCCCTAATCTAACCTAATCTAATCCTGCTTCGCACTGCAGCCAGATTGTTCCAGGCCATTTGTTGCTTTGTGTTTGCGATGAGAGGTCAGCTATGCCTATGCAGTCCTGCACAGTGGCAAGGGAAATCGAGGTTGGTCCATGGCTCGAGAAAACGGAAATAATGTGCACCAGACCTCTCGACATTTCAAGCTCAAGTGAAAGCGGATACGGGGGTGCACGTTAAAGAACCCCAGGTGGTCGAAATTTCCAGAGCCCTCCACTACGGCGTCTCTCATCATCATATGGTGGTTTTGGGACGTTAAACCCCACATATCTATCTGAAAGCGGATACGGAAATGGGAGAAGAATTTCGATAATTTGCTGCAGCTAAACTACGAGAAGGCAAAACTTCGATGGAAGCTCTGTAATGGCACACCAGTGTACGATGCGCTCTTTCAGTACTTCGAGCGTAAAAGAAGTGTAGGACGTGCCGTCAGCAACCGGATTCTTCCAAAGAGGCTGTCAAACTTGTCAACAGCGTGCAGTTGGGAGACTTCGTTGCAATGCGCCACGCTACAAATCAGAGCCAGAAGACGACGCGCGAGGAACTTTCGGAGACTGCAAGTTCCTCTTGGTCTTCCGCGAACTCGCTGCGATGGCACAACGGCTACAGCTTATATATTATGGCCAACGTGGATCACAAGATGGTGTGAATAGCCGTTCGAGTCTCCCCCTCGCGGCGTTTGTGGGAGCAGTACATGCGTCGGGAAGCACAAGCACTAAAAGGAAACTTGATGAAACCATCACGGCAACATGTGCTCAATTTTGTTGGCGAGGCGTGCGCCGCTGTATCTGAGGAGACAGTGTCACAGGCCTGTTGGAGCTGTGGTGCCAGAAGACCGTGGTGGACATCAAGCCGAATGCTGCGAACTGTTTTTTGCAACTGGCTTGGAGGAGTTCTTTGATGGTTTTGAAAGTGTTTGAAAGCGATTAAAAGCTTCAAAAAATCTTGAGCCTGATACCGGTGTCACCAGGTCTTGATTGTGATTAACTTTACAGCCGTTGCTACACTGCTGAGCTAGTCTGGTTCGAGCTTGGATCAGATTAAATGCACCAGGTGGCACTTCTGTGCCGCAAAACATGTCGTTGACAAAACTCAGCGTACGATACTTCAACAGGGCCATTTATCAGCAGTATGTTATTCAAGAAAGAACTGCTCGCAAGTCAAAAGCTTTGCGTGCCTCTGTAAAAGTAATTTCATAGGTCCGTAATTCGGTAGAGCTTTCTTTGCGCTTACCTGTATTGCTGTGCGAGAATTTCAATATTCACTTTTATTTCTGATGACGCCTGCTCGTAGCCATCCAGTTACAGCGAAATGGCAATCTCGTTGTACACGCCACAGTTTCACTTCTGGTGCCTCAAGTCTCCCAGTTTCTCCTGCCAACGGTTAATTACTGTAAAGGTTTTTTCACTTGACCACGAAGTGCGCGTACGCTGTGACGGAGTCGAAAAGCTGGCGACACTCATAATCAATTTGCTTCGAGGTGCTCCAACTGCCCCGACAGTGCGAGAATTTAACTTATCGTCTGCCTCTCCCATAACTACGTGCGGTTAATATGAATCCTAAAATGTGCATATTTACAGATATTTTTTCAATTGGAACATTTTACGATTTCTTTTATAAATAAATATCTAGCTTTTTGAATCAGTTTTTACAGAACTATGCTTAATGTTCTTCTTTCTTTTGCTTTCAACAAGCTCAACCCGGGGGTGCGGACTACACAAAACCACGATCTCTCAGCCAGATCGCGATGCACGTATTGCAATAGCCTTGATCCTGATTGGGCCTCATCCCGATTATAAGTGACTGTGTAGCAGCACCTAATCCGGATCGTGGTTAATCCAGATCGGCACTGATCACGATTTGAAATGCCCGTGTGACACCGGTATAAATGAAGTTCACAGTAATAAAACATTAATCCTTGTACACTGCATTTTTGTTTTCTGGCACAAAAATTTTGCGGCTATCTTGAATTTCGGTGCTCCCCCCCCCTGCCCACATTGCTGACAATTCCTACCGACTATGTTGGTGGGGGGGGGGGGGGGTACTTGCCAGGAATTCAACGGTTGGTCTATTGCCAGACTGTTTAATATTAAATTCATTATAACCGTTATTTTGTTATATTTGTGTCCGTTTTATTGAGGTTTGAGTGTACAGAGGTGGTGCTCACACGCTGTACCAATATGTTATGCGTAGGAAAGAGAATTTTTCTTATCATATATATATATTTTTAAATGAGTGGGTTGTGTTGTCTGTTCTCTTCTCTGTGTTAATACTTAATTGCCTAATGTTTTACCAAAAAAGGCCAAATTTCTCCCCTTGTGAAGACATGTCTGGTCTTCGTCTGTCTCATGTGGAACACTTCACATTCACTGCAGCACTTTGGTGGTATGTGATAAAGCATTCTAAGATTGGGAAGCAGCTGCTTGTTTTCACACATCATGGCACTTGTTGTCCGTTGAACAAACGCGCATATGCCGTGCGATAACACGTACCGTGATCGCTGACACGTGATCACGTGATCACGTAACACGTGATCGCTGAAATTTTATAAGCCTTACTGGCTCTTTGACATTTCTGTGGCTCCGAGGAACAATAAACATTACAGCACAAGTTGGTAGGTTGCCTTGAGTTACATTTATGGGAAGTTCTGATTATTTATTGATGTGCCTTTGAAATAGATCAAGTGCCCATTGTATTGATTTCACTGCAATGCATAATTTGATCTTTTTTTCTGCTTTGTAATCTCGGAGCGGTCTCCAGTTAAAATGACTCTGAAGGTTTTATCCGAGTGTCTCTGCCCTTCCATTGCTTCGGAATCTTAATCATTCAACATTTAATGATTTACTCATTCAGCTTAGCTTGTCTCGATGTTGCTGTGAAAGAAAATTATTCTTAGGGTCTGCCCTCCACTTTTCTGTTCTGTGATAATCATGCTGGTTTGAAAATAAAGAACTTTGCTTTTCTGTTCCACGATTGTTTTTCGCACAGGCTTCCATCACAGTACAATAACGAATTGTATGTATTTGTATTGCTGTTTGGGCCTGTGCTGTGCTGCTGCCAAGTTTAAGCCGTGTGGTAGAAGACGTTTCTCTGATTTCCCCCCCGCAGGGTGTGAACTGGACTTCCCCATCTGGGACATCGAAATGCTTCTGCGCAAGCTGCGCAGTGTGGTAGGAGAAGATATCTCCCACGCAGAGGCCGAGAACATCCTGAGCTCGGCATTGTTCGACTACGAACTCAAGTCTCTGTAAGTGGTTTCCTAAAACATTGTTATAGCATAGTAAATGGCAAATTTGGGACATGCTTGAAAATTTCGCTGCTCCTGCTGCACGGCTTCTAGTTCGCTCAGTGTATAAGAAAGCCAGAAATCTCGGGACACTGAAACTTTCAGTGTCTAATTTGTCGAACTTTCTGCTCAAAAGGCAAAGTTTAAAAAGCCATTAATTGAATTGACCAACTCTGCCGTGTCACTCGTACCGAAGACTCAAATACGTGCTTTCGGAATGGTTCTGTTTGTGGACATGGAGGATTTCATGACAGTTTTGCCACTATACAGTCGCTGACTGAGTTTCTAGACCTGAAAAAATAGTCTGAAAAATCTGTCTGAAAAAGCTGTTGGGACATGAAAATTAAGTTAATTTGGTACAGAACAGCCTATAATGATGCCCTGCTTATTTTGTGCTTACATACGATTATATTTGTTGTATTTGGGCTAAAGTTACGTTGTTTATAATCGCTGCCGAGTGACGGCTGTTGTCGCTGGCTGCTGTGGGCAGCGCCAGAGGTGGCGTTTATGCTACCAGGCGCACAAAATTTCTTGCATGCACACAAAAGGTGCACGCAATGTCTCAGTTTGTTGGCAGGATTAATAACTTTGTAAGGGATGGCTGGTGTCTATTCAACCTGCATTGGCACTGCATAGTGGATGAGGCTTCAGTATTTTGCGTATCATATACAGTCGAGCCCACATATAACAGTCCCACTTAAAATGAACTTTCGCTTAAAACGAACAATATCCGCGTGACCGTCAATATATACATTGGTTCAGTGGCACAAAATCGCACTTACAACGAACATCTCCGAGCGCCGCTGATCGGTTACAGCGAACGGAGTCAGCAGCCTGCCTACTTCCCGGGAAACCAATTTCGACCACCGATCAGGCATCGGCGAAGTGCCTATACATTCTTATTGTTGAATGCCGACCCTGCCTCCGCGACCCTCTAGTTGCTGCTCTCCCCAACTCATGGAGGAAGGAAAGCTGTTTCCTTCCTCCATGCCCAGACTGCTTTTTGTTAGGCACCCCTCCGTCCTTTGTCCCCCCGCTATTCTGTGCACCCCGCATCGCTAGACGACTAAGTGATTCTAAGAGAGGGAAAAGAAGAGAAAAGTGAGCCCCGTAACTGTCCGCATCACTGTGCGGCACCTCAACAGTAGCTCACAGGGGATGGGGGTGAGGAGGGATCAAAAGGATAGAAGTAAAGGTATAGAGAAAGAGAGATGTGCTAGGCCAGCGAGTGAGGACATATCGAGGGGATAGGAGAGATAGGAAAGATGAAAAACACGGTCACGGGAGTCCGAGGATGGGAAACCACTTGCGGGAGCTCTTGTCGGTGTCAAGAGGTGGCGTAGGGCAAGTCCAGTTGGTCAGAGCTACGCTGTCATTCGAGATCGGCGTCAGGAGATGACGTAGGGCCAGCCCAGTCGGCCGGAGCTGCGCTGACGTGGGAGATCGCGAGGGCACAACGAGGCCCGTGTTTTCACATTGCCACCGATCTTTCGATGACCGGTCGGCCATCTACCCTGTTTTTGATCCCTGGCACTGTCGTTGGCGTCGCCGGCCTGGAGTGACCAAACCATGGTGGCCGACGATGTTGGTACATCGTCGGCCACCGACTGTATCTGATATTCCGCGTCTGGTGCACGCGCATACGCTACCCCACCAACTCTGATAATTCGCGATTCGTTTCGTGCTTAGGACTTGTTCTCGCTCACTTCGCCTTCAACTCAGCATGCCCTCCGCGCACGTGCGAAAGTGCGAAATCGGCTGTTAATTTGCGCAGAATGAATCGCGAATTATCAAAGTTCGTGAGGCCACGCCAACCCGCCAGCGCAACAAAACGATTTTTCACCACAGCCGCCTATTCTTCGGACACCGCCGCGCGCAGGCACTCTTTCCAAGTTTTTTTACGTGCGAGTTTCGCGGACCTTTCAAGCAAGCTACTCCTGTGTGTTTTGATTTTCAAGGATGCCCTCCCGCCGCACCCTTCCCACTCTTTATCGGAACTCCTTGCCCTTCTCTCGCAAGTCTTTATTACAACCCCTTCGCCCGCCTTCACCGCTCCGCGACGCCCGCCACGCTGGCTCGAATGTTTCGTTTTTTGATTGGAAACGGGCCCAGAGCTGTTCCACGCGTTCTGGCATGTGTGTCACGTATGCACGTCTTGCTCGCTCTTGGTGTGCGTGTGTGGTCAAGGTGGCCGACAGGAGGACTAGCACGCTTTTTCCTGCCGCTCAACAAAACGTCGAAAGTGTGACCGCTTGGCTTGAGCGTAATCCGTGCGTTAGGTGCCGCGTTGCGGAGCGCTTGCTCATAGCTATTGACCACCTGGCAGGCAACTTGCCGCTTCGGGCGTCCCGGTATTCAGCTGAGCGTGGAGATAGTGAATATTTCGTTGGCGGCGGTGACGGCTACATGGAGATAGTGAATATTTCGTTGGCGGCGGTGACGGCTACATGCGCGCGAAACTGTTTTCGCGAGGCTGACTTCGTCGACATCGGGCCCTATGCCGAGCCAGAAGCTTCCGAACTGCGGCGGCGATTTGTGGCAGCGCGTCGTCGACTCCGTCCACGGAGAGCCGGTGGGACATCTGTTGCGGTGGTTTAATTACGGCCGATCATGATGCCGCCACTGCGAAACCGTACACGTATTGGGGCATTGTGAATGAAGTACGTGGCGAGAGCGATTTGGAGGAAATGGATTGCGAGAACGGCGGAACTTCGGAGCCAGTGTCTCATATAGCTTATGCCACGCGCGTCGGCGAACGAGCACCTTGCCGTTTTAAGTGAACTCGAGACCGCCCTTATTGCTTCTGCTCTTCGAAACACGTGCATCACGGACTTTTTGGAGCAAAAAAAGTTTGCATTTTCACTCGCTACTTTTTTAAAAACTGTGTTTCATTTGCTACGAACTTTGGGATACAGCGAACGGATGCCGCGTCACGCTCAGGTTCGTTATTAGCGGGCTCGACTGTATTATAAATAAAAATTGGCACATTTGCCATTACCCAACTAACCTGCACAATATTTTTAAAAAATTGAAGCAGGGCCGCTTCAATTACTCCAAATTGCTCCAAAAGAGAAACGCTGCTTTAAAATGTCATATTTGTTGGCAACTGCACCGAACCTGCTTCAGAAGTTGATTGGAAAATGGAAAACAATGAACTTGAACTGCGCAATTGTTCAGCAAGCCTACACAAAACCATATACACGTGGTATAAATTATCCTAGTATATGCTGGCGTGCAGTTTGCTCACTAACTACATACTAGCTGCACACTAGCGTATTGGCAATGCCAAAAGTACAGGCGCTACTATATGTGCCTGATTTAACTGTATATTTGGACCGCATAAGCAGATTATTTTGCTGAAATGGTTACAATGATACAGTCGACGACTGATCTCGGGACCGCAAAAACGTCCAGAACATCGGGCTGTCCAGAAAAATGAATGCATGTGAAAACACATCTTATTCACAGGCATTTTTCGCTTACAGAGACAGTAACAGCAGGAGTACAAGATTCTCGTTGCAATCCGGCGAACGCATCGTCTAGGTGGCTCTGAAAAGAGCCATTTGTTTAAAAAGAAAACAACAACAACAACAACAAGAAAAAAAACGATGTGGCCAGCGCTACCTCATTGGTCAACACTTTTGGCCCAAAAAAGCTGCTGATATTCTTCTGCTGGCATTTCGTTTGCCCGCGGTCATGTCTGCTTCAATTTAAGTTAGCGTCATGCTGCCGCTTACTCCGATGACAGTGTCATCAGTGCTCGCTTTAACGCCGAGCTAGTTTGCTGTGCAGGCACTGCCTCTTAGACCTCGGTGTCAGAGTAGTGAGAATCTTCCGTAACTTGACGAATAATTTTGTCATCTGTCAATTCCGGCTTTTTGTCAGCATCCGCGAAGGCCTCAAAGGTTATCCCGGCTGGAATTGAAACACCGGCAGCGCCCTGATTGTCGAAGGCAACGTTCGCGTGCAGACGTTCATCACACACAGGTCATCTTCTCTAGGCAAGACTGCCGTCTCGGCGTCGAATAGGAAGCCTGCATAGTGAAAACAGTTTCGAAGAGTCCGCAAGCATGTTCACTGCAGGCCTGAGGTCAACAGCGTAGCTTTTCCCGCTGTCTGAGCACAGCACCATGGGGCTAAGCATGTGTGATTTATAAAGATGCTTTAAGTTAGGAGTAATGCCTTGGTTCATCAGCTGCAGATCGCTGTGGTATTTGGCTACATAAATTCAATCTGTAAAGACTTCAAGGTCCATGATGTGGCCATGCGCAGCACAGTTATCCACAAACAGCAGCACTTTTCAATGTTGCTGCTCGAACCTTCTGTCCAGCTTGCGCACGTGTGCTTCGAATAGCTGCTCCATCACCCACGCCTTAGTGTTGGCTTCGTAGAAAATGGGCAGAGTCACTGCCCCCTTGAAACATCTTGAATGCTTTGACTTCCCTGCCACAAGCAACGGAAGCTTCTCGCTACCTGACATGTTGCTGCCAACGAGGACAGTGAGCCGCTGCTTGCTGTGCTTGCCGCCGTGGCAGGGGTCACCAGCAAATGCAACGTTTTCTTTGGCAGCAGCTTTTGAAAGAGTACTGTTTCGTCGCAGTTGAAAACTTCATCTGGTAGAAACTGCTGAAACAAGGACTGCAGCCTTCCATTCCAATATTCGGCGACTATGGAATCGTCGATGACGCCGCTTTTCCTGTACATCTTTCTGAATTTCAAGTCCTTGCGGCTTTTGGAATTGCGAAGCCATCCATCACAGAACTTGAAATCCTTCACGCTCATCTGAAGCACAAAAACCTCCTCTTTGTGCTTCAGTATGTCACCTGACACCCGGATTTTCTTGGTGGCCATGGCCACACGAGGAGCGCTTTCTTGTGCTTTGGGTGAACACCCTGATTCGCATTTTTTTTTTGCAGCCCGGTTCATTTGGCAGCCATTTTAAAGATCTTTGCCTCGTTCTT